AAATGCAAGTTATAATAAGTATCGCCTTTTTGACACAACATATTTTAGATCTTGTTTAAACGTGTTTCTGCTGAAACTTGCGGCAACATCTGAAACACATAACTCATGTGTCTTTGCTATGTTTCAGTTGTTTTTCAGCATATGTTCAAGCTATGTACCAGGTAAATTTGCTGTCCAAAGTCAAAGCAAATATAAATTTTGTGTCACCTATTTTTCCCATGTAAGTTCATGAAATACTGGAAACATATTCGTTCTGTGTTTCACATATGTACTGCTTATGATTCACACTGTGTTCCCACTGTGTCCTGTGTAGGTTTCAAGTAAATCTGCCAGTATCAGACGGAAGATATTGTAAATATCTGTTTAATGAAAGTGGTGGATTCAGCTGAAAGATATTTCTACTGGGTTTGAAATATATCTCACAATATGTTTAAACTGGGTCTAGGTAAAATCTGCAAGCCATGTGTGAAACATATTAAAAATATCTCCCCTGTAAAACTTGCCACTACATGTGAGATATATTTTGTATATGTCTCCCCTTTGGTTCAGCATATGTCAAGACTATGTTTAGGGTAAGTCTGGGCAGCAAATGCGAAACATATTCAAATTAGGTCTCATGTATGTCTTTCAACAAGTGGGCCTACAAGCTTGAGAGATATCGATTACATGTCTCGAAAATGTCTCTGTTGTTTTTCAACATGTGTTTAAGCTATGTACCAGGTAATTTGCCGTCAAGAGATCGTAACAAATATAAACTTTGTGTCTCATATGTATGCAATATGAGACATGCAACATTGTAGACATAATCATTATGTGTTTACCATATGCACAACTGCAGAGCCGTGGAACTCACAACTGCAGAACTCCACATAGTGTGGGGCACAGGTTCGGGTAAAACCCGTGGGTTTCCGGGTCGGGTTGGGCGGGTCTGGGTCATGGTTTCGAAAGATATTAAACCCGTGCTAACCCGGACCCTACCCACAGTATAAAAGGGTATTTGCAGGTTAAACAATGAGATATTATGTATTTCTCTCTCCCATTTCTCCTTAGGATTGTGCTGTGGTAGCTGTGCAGCATTATCAATTACAGATAGGTGGCAATCTTTGCCTTTTTCTCCAGCTACCAACATGCTGTGAGGGCTCAAACTTGGTTTTCATCTATGCAATGGATGAAATAGATGTTTCTTAGAGGTCCACAGATTAATCCTCAGCACACTTGATTTTTTCAAGTTGATCCTACAAGGGATACGATGGGTAAACCCATGCAGGTTATAGACCCGGGGGAGCCCATATGTACCCATATGAAATTGGGTACAGGTTTATACCCTTACCTGCATGGGGTACAGGTTGCATGGGTAAGGGTCTGGGTTGCCATTTTTCAACCCAGACCCAGACCTGTGCCCAACACTGTTGACAGTCTGCACAACTGCAGAACTGCACAAGTGCACTGCAGAACTATGGAACTGCACAACTGCGAAACTGCAGAACTGCACAGCTGCAGAACACCCAACTGCAAAACTGCAAAACTGTGGAACTGCACAAGTGTGAAACTCAGAACTGCACAGCTGCACAACTGCGAAACTGCAGAACTGCAGAACTGCACACCAGCACAACTGTGGAACTGCCCAAGTGTGGAAGTGCACAAATGCGGAACTGTACAACTGCACAACTACAAAACTGTGGAACTGCACAAGTGTGAAACTCAGAACTGCAGAACTGCAAAACTGCAAAACTGCACAACTGTAGAACTGCAAAACTGCGAAACTGTGGAACTGCCTAAGTGTGGAACTGCACAAATGCGGAACTGCACAAGTGTGGGACTCAGAACTGCACAGGGTGAAGTATACACGTAAGATGCCTCTTTTTAACCTGCTGATTACTCACGATCACCGATTTGTTCCTCGTTACTCATGTCACATGCATTTCTTGCTCTTGACTTCCATCTTGTGATACATATCCCACTTCTTGTTGAATATACTCTGGCCTACTTGTTCCTTTCTGGTGCTTTCAAGACTCTTTCTCCCCATCTTTAAGTGGTGAGTTTCCACTTTTTGAACAAGTCTGCTGTTTATATTGCCTCCGCCCGCCAATCAGAGATCTCCATCTCTTGATCGTGGATCCCCAGCGATTCCCCACATCTCCCCACATGGATGCTCACTCACCCCCACTGTCCCTCCAGCGGTGTTCCTGCATCTGTAGAGCCACTCCAGCTCACTCACCATTGTCCTCCAGGTGCCACATCAGCGTACAGCACCACCACATCTGGTAACACCCACCCTGTTTTCATGCTTGCCAAATTTCCCACGTGCCGAGGATTCACGACACTGAGATCCACGACAAAGCTGGCAAATGGGGCAAGGCTGTTCTGCTCAAAACAAAGACCTGTTGTAAAGACCACAGCCACCTTACAAACACAAAGACTGTCGAAGAGTAGTTCAAAGACATAAGATGTCAAAGACAAATACATTGTTTCCCTCACGTTTACAGTGAAAGATCACAAAGATTACCAGGAAATAAATTTATGCATTTTTTGTGTATAAGTTGATTTCACTCGTAATTTGATCAAAGGATCAAAGACAAGTGCCGGCCACATGCGTAGGTCGCACCTGGCAGTGTGATGCGGACTGCGGTGCTTCAAACTGCCAGATGGTGGGGTGATCCGGTGTGATGCAGACTGCGGTGCTTTAAACTGCCAGATGGCGGGGAGATCCGGGCTATGTTTAAATGCTCGTCCTCTAGGGGGAATTTGTTCTGTCGCGGTAGACAAGTACGTAGGGAGGTTTAAATATTATTGGTGGGGATATCCGTACAAGGATTCGAACAGTTAGTTCAAAATCCTACTAGCTAGGGTGGTCCGAGCGAACTCCGACGCCTAGTTAGCCTTCTCGGGTTAACGGAGATTGAATCTGTTCCACACTTCCTTGGGGAGGAGCTTCGGAAGGCGATGCGGGGTTCAATTCGTCAAGTCCGAGGTGAAATATGGATTTGGGGGCTTCCTGGACCACGAACCACAGTCGTCCGAAGTGTCTTTGAGTCGTAGATCGTAAGACCGGGGGATTTATGTGTTCGCGATAATGTTCCGGCAATTCCTCCTCCCTTTACCCCTCTTTGTGCCTCTACGGAGTTTCCTCTCTCTACTTCTCACCCGTTCGCTTGCTGAAGGCGACTTCCTGCAGGCTCTGCACTGCCAACTTCCTTAGCTAGCAGCTACACACGAACTCCGAAGACCTCGTTGTGCTGTTTGAGAGATTTCACTGCCCTACTTGCGTAGGGGAGGAATAAATGGTTCGATTTTCTCCGGCGCTGAACTTTTTATGCCGAAATATAAACTCCGTTTGCTGTCTGACGGCGGCGGGGGAGTACCGGGATCGCTTTACTGTGTAACTCGACTCCGGGTGACCTCTAGGTGATGTTCGGGGCGGATATTTAGCTACTCCTAAGCTGGCTAAGGCTTAGAAGGTGAGGATGTGGGCCGAAACTGAGATGATATTTTGGTAGACTAGCTGTAGTATTTATACTCCAGCCCAAGGCTGTGCCGGAGTTGTTCCTTTGTGTCCCATACCTGTTTGCTCGCACACTCCTCCGCCCCGGAGTTCGCTTATGACTCATTCTAGAACTCCGTGAACCCTTACCCGCACCATCTTTGGTCAGGCACCGATTCCGCAACCCAGACTTGTTGGCCCTAGTCTCGGACACTCCATGTCCGGTCCTAACTCGCCTCCTATCCAGCTTCCGCCTGCGACGGCTCGATAGTGTAGTGGAAACGCACTCCGTATCCTTTCACCCCAGTGTTTGACTTACGGAGAGTCCGGAGTTCGATCCTCCGTCGAGCCCTTTTCCCGTGTTACCCACCTTTTTTGATTACCCGGAGTCCTCGTTCCATCCTTTCGGGCTGTTTATTCGCGACTCGATGGCGTAACTGTAACACATCCTGCCATGGTTCTTGCACAAGCACCTCTTTTGCAGGAAGTCCGGAGTTCAATCCTCCATCGAGCCATCCCTCCTTTCCATTCCTTTTTCGTGCGCCTCTTACCGGACCTTCGTATTGCTCGCACACATGGTTCGGTGGCATAGTGGTAACGCACTCCGTTCGCGTAGCTGGCGGGAAACTGAAATAATGGAGGGACCGGAGTTCGAATCTCCGACGGGCCTTTACTTCCTTTTGTCCCTCGAGTAAAAAGATAGGGCTCGGTCTTGAGCGGTTCAGTGGCGTAATGGTATCGCACTCCGCATTCCTATGAAGTTCACAGTATGCTTTACGGAGAGTTCGGAGTTTGATTCTCCGCTGAGCCATTCCGACGGAAACCATTCTCTTTACGGTGATGATCTTGACTGGTCGTTCGACTCCTACGGCTTGATGGCGTAATGGTAACACACTCTGTAATATGCACATTTTTATATCGATTGACGGAGAGTCCGGAGTTCAATTCTCCGTCGAGCCATTTCGACGGAAACCCTTCTTTTTACAGTGATCGTCTTGGCTGGTCGTTCGACTCCTCGTAGTGGTAGTTGTCATTTTTGGTGGTCCGGTCATGGCTTGGTGGCATAACGGTAACGCGCTCCGTGTACCTAATGTTCTCATATTGGTCGATGGAAGGTTCGGAGTTCAATTCTCCGTCAAGCCATGTTGGGTCTGGATATGATTTTTTGTCATGGTCCTTTGTGGCTTGGTAGCACAGTGGTAATTGACATTTTTTTTTTGGGTAGTCCGGTCATGGCTTGGTGGCGTAATGGTAACACGCTCTGTGTACCTAACGTTTTCATATCGGCTGATGGAAGGTTCGGAGTTCGATTCTCCGTCAAGCCATGACTTTTTACTCCGGTCTGTGGTCACGTTGAATGTGATGGCTCCGGTCGTGGCTTGGTGGGGTAATGGTAACGCGCTCCGTTTACCTAACCTTCTCATATCGGCTGATGGAGGGTTCGGAGTTCGATTCTCCGTCAAGCCATAACTTTTTACTCGGAGTCGGTCCTTTGTAGTCTTGAGTTCGATCCTCGAATGGCCTGTTGGCGTAATGGTAACACATTCCTATAGCATTCGTATATCGGTTGACGGAAGGTTCGGAGTTCGATTCTCCGTCAAGCCACTAGTTGGGTCCGGATATCATTTTTGACTATAGTCAAAGGCTTAAGGCATTGTTCTCGGAGTTCGGTGTTTTGAGGTCACGTCGGGAGCTATCACAATGTGATGGCTCACACCGGGCTATGTTTAAATGCTCATCCTCTAGGGGGAATTTGTTCTGTCGCTGTAAGAGTACATAGGGAGGTTTAAATAATATTGGTGGGGATATCCATACAAGGATTTGAACGACTTGTTCAAGATCCTGCTAGCTAGGGTGAACTGAGTGAACTCCGATGCCTAGTTTAGCCTTCTCGGGTTAATGGAGGTTGAATCTGTTCTACACTTCCTCGGAGGAGGAACTCTGGAAGGTGATGTGGGGTCCAATTCATTATATCTGAGGGGGAATATGGGTTTTAAGGGCTTCTTCGACCACGAACCACGGACCTCCGAAGTCTATTTGGGTTGTAGATCGTAAGGCTGGGGGAATTATGCGTCCGCTGTACCGTTCCGCAGATTTCTCCTCCTTTCTACCCCTCTTTATGCCTCTACGGAGTTTCCTCTCTCTATTTTCCCAACCTGTTCGCTTGCTGAAGGCGACTTCTGCGGGCTCCTTACCGCCAACTTCCTTAGCTAGCAGCTACACACGAACTCCAAAGACTTTGTTGTGCTGCTCAAGAGAATCCACTGCCCTACTAACATAGGGGAGGAGTGGTCGGTTCGATAATTGACGCTGAACTTATGTCGAGTTAAACTCTGATTGCTGTCTGACAGCGGCATGGGAGTGCCGGAGGTCGTTTACTGTATAACTCAACTCCGGGTGACCTCTTGGTGACATTCGGAGGACTTTAGCTACCCCTAAGCTGGCTAAGGCTTAGAGGCTGAGAATGTGGGCCGAAACTGATATGATATTTTGGTAGACGATGTGAGGGTGCTATGCACCCTACATGTGTCATGATGGATCTGCTGGCACCACGCGACCTTGGGACGAAGGAATACCCTGGTTGGGCTTCCTGCTTGCCGGAAATGGACATCGTCCGGCTGGGCCGTTCGACCTTTCAACCATCCTTAGGGCACCGTACGACTGTTCACCGGGGCTGAATGACCGTCCTCTCAGGCCATACGTCCTGACGAAAGCACCATGACACCACGCGAGACTTGTTCCGACGGGATTGCCACCTTCACCAAAACGTCCACAAGGGACATTCTTTGCGGACTCCCTTTCCGGCCCACATACTGACCTGGCGAGCCTCAAATCCATGTCCAGGATGGCTCCCCTGGTCACCCACACTTCCCACGCCTCCAGGAATCCCCGTGAACTCACCGAAAGGTGGTTCGTCCCAGAAGGCCGTTCACCAATTCTCCTTCCGTTACCCACCTGAAACCGTTGGACCCCGTTTCAGCCCCTCCTCGTCACATAACGCACGACCCAAAGGAGGTAGGGGAAAGGTATAAAAGGGAGACGGGGACGGACCCAGTAGTCAGTTGTTCCCAGTTGGTTCCCAGCTGTTACCTGGTCAATCCTTGGACTGCACTGTCCTGCAGTGTACCTTAGTCCACCCCCAATACCAGTTGACCACGACTCACTTGCCCCATGGCATTTTACTTCTAATCCACTTGCAGCTGAAGTTTTAAGCTCGCGCTTATAATCGTCACTTCCCGAAGCAACCCTATCTTCTTTCACAAGTTGATAGCTAGCCTAGGCCCCCTTTGACAAATCACCGTCACAGCCAGACGTCCTACGCTTACAGGCCCTCAATCGGTTTATTCACACACACACACGCTCCCTACGACCATCGTCCCGTTGGGACGACCAACCCTCATTTATCACCACCAACCCAAAGGGCGATCCAATAAACCTTGCAATCCCCTAAAAATCATACTCAGAATCCCCTAGAGGACGAACAAGCTGTTGCCAGTGTAAACCAATTCACACACCAGCACCGCAGTCCCAATCACAACGAGCTGTTGTATTTATACTCCCAGCCTAATGCTGTGCCAGACTTGCTCCTTTGTGTCCCAATCCAGTTCACTCACACGCTTCTCCGTCCGGAGTTCACCTGTGACTCACTTTGGACTCCGTGAACCTATATCCGCACCGTTCCTGGCCAGGCACCAACTCCGTGGTCCGGGTTCGTCGCCCTATTCCCGGATGCACCTTTTCTGCCCTAGCTTCTCCTCCGATCCGATTTCCACCTGTAGTGGCTCAATAGTGTAACAGTAAACGCACTCCGTGTCAATGTCACCCCAGTGTTTGATTATGGAGAGATTTGGAGTTCGATCCTGCCTTGAGCCCTTCTCTCGTGCTATCCACTTTTTGTTACCCGGAGTTTCTTGCCAGCCCCGCCGAGACGTATAATCTTCGACTCTCCGTCCCTGAGATAGCATGGTTCGATGGCGTAGCTGGTAACGCATCCTGTCTTGGTTCTTGCACAAGCACCTCCGCAGGAAGTCCGAAGTTCAATCCTTCGTCAAGCCATTTCGTGGATAATTAAAGACTTTTTTCATAAACAGGCTACCGATCTTTTGCATTGCACAGAGTCCGAAGAGGGTATGTTCATGGTCCGGTGGCATAGCGGTAACGCACTCCATTTGAATAACTGGCAGGAAAATTAATAAGGGAGGGTTCGGAGTTCGATTCTCCACCGGGCCGTGTTTACGTCAGAAATGTTTTTCGAGAGGGCGGAGTTGTTGCTTCAGGCATGACCTCATCCAAGTCCGGGTCATTCTTTTAAGGTCTGATGGCGTAGTGGTAACGCACTCTGTAAACCTGGTAGGGTCCGGTTAAATCTTCACGGAGGGTCCGGAGTTCGATTCTTCGTCAGGCCTTAGTGTTTTTATTCTGTCAGACGATAACCAGAAGATTGTATCTTGAAAGACGACTCGTTGAACGGCTCAGTGGCGTAATGGTAACGTACTCCGTAAGACTGGTTGCGTGTGCTGTTATCAGCTTTACGGAGGGTCCGGAGTTCAATTCTTCGTCAGACCTTAATGTTTTTTTTATACAGGCGGACATTCGTGAAAGGCGACGACGTTGAACCAGCTTGGTGGCGTAATGGTAACGTACTCCGTAAGACTGGTTGCGTTTGCTGCAAAGGCTTTGCGGAGGGTCCGGAGTTCAATTCTTCATTGGGCCTTAGTGTTTTTGTTCAATCTGTATTCTGGGTTATGCTGTTTACGGAGATGTTGTCGTTGAACCGTCAAATATTGTGCTCTCGGAGTTCTTTGCAGATGGCTTGGTGGCGTAACGGTAACACGCAGGTTCGGAGTTCAATTCTTCGTTGGGTTTTCTGGTCATCTTGCTCAAGTTGTACTAAGATATCAGACGTATGGCAGAGTGACCTTTGGAGTTTCACCTTTTTGAGGCTCTGTCAGGAGCTATCACAATGTGATGGCTCACAGTCGTCAGGTGCCTCGGTCTTTGCCCCCGGTGTGATTCAACTCTAGTTGAGAGTACAGGACCACTCAGAGTCGAGCAGGGGGGATCCCTATACAAGAGTCATATATCCTACAGTGCCAAAAGTCCGTCCCTTTTATACCCCAGCCTGTACAGCCTTCGGGCTCCTGCTCCATCCGATGGAATCGGGTCTGAGACCTCCTTCGAGTTGTAAAACAGTGAAGCATGCACATGTGCATGGAAAGGCAGCTTCCAGCACCGAAAAGTAGAAAAACATGGTGGTGGAATGAATCCATGGCGGTGGCTTGCGAGAGCAATGGCCGGGATGTGTTTCATGTGGCCGTGAGGATGTGAGAAATGAAGCGAACACCCATGCAAATCGCAAGGCGAAGACAAATCTGGTTGTGGAAATGTGAAAATGGAGTGGACACCTGCGTGAATTGCAAGGTGAAGGCAGATCTGGGGTGCAAATCACAAATTCCAGGGTGGTTGACAGTCAAGGATGGCTGTCCCCTGGATACCGAGCGGTGGCCGGGAAATTGCATGGAAAGGGGGGTGGAACTGCATGTAATCTGCCGCAGTGGAAATGGCAAGTAGTCTGGGGCGCGATGTCATCTGTCAAGGTGGAACACCAGGAGTCGAGTTGGCTTGGAGCGTAACCTCCGCCGCGGTCGTGGTCGGGGAAGGATGCATAAGTGCAACACGCCTGTGGTGTGTTTCCGAATCTGGTTTCTTGAGTTTCCGAATTAGGTGATTGGTCCGTCTGGAGTCACGCAGTGGCGCATGGGCACATGCAACACATGTACAGCCCTCACAACGTGCGGTGGTGGAATATGGCAAGTTGTTGGGGCGTGGTGTTATCCATGAGCAAAGTCGAGGCAGAGCGCCCAGTGAAACGGTTGCTCAGAGTCAAAGGCTGCAAAATGCAAAATGAACAAAACCCAACTTTTGAGTGATTGAGATTGGACACAACTCAAATGAGCAGGAAAGTCCAACTCCAACTACTCAAAATACTGGATTCCAAACACTAAACACCTCTTGTATTGCACCGATGGTTGTCTGACAAGTTAGGGTCTTTTTAGACACAAGTATAGGTCTAAAGGAGCTCTAAGTCGAGATTTCTCGGGTTGACTTGGTACTGTAGAAAGTAACTCAAAGAGGAACTTTCTCGACGAAACACTTGGTTCAAGTAACAATTTGACAGGGTCAAGATTGAAACCGAGTGGGATGTGGTTTTAGATTTAAGCTTCTCAGCTATAGCGCAGGTAACGGCTGGAAGGCCAGCAAGTTGTTTGAACTGAAGCTTGGGTTTTGGACACAAGTCCCGTTATTCCGTACTCAGGACCTTCTAATAAGACCCGCACAATTGTACTCAGGTCCGTCTTATAAGACCTGCGCAATCACAGATTCCCCAGTTATCAATCAAAAGAAACTCTATTTCACGGGACCACCATCTGAATAGCAGAGTCCTCAGAGTAGAGCCCTCAACCAAGACCTGTCGCGCATGGGAAGGGGCAATGGTGTTAGCCTTCCACACTAGCTTGGGTCAAGATTCAGTGCCCTTCCCCTTCAGAACGTCCTACTTTTATGCTACAAATTATATATGATTACAATGCTTGATTACACTACTG